TCTTTCCCTCGCGGCTCTGCCACCCTCTTCGAGCTCGGGGCGTCCTTTCTGTCTGACCAGCACCTTGATGAGGAAGCAGCTCACTGCACTGAACTGCTCCCCATAGTGTCCTGGAGCCCAGGCAGGTGCAGAGGAGCTGGGGAAAGGTAATTCCCAGGTGGGCGGCTCCCACCACGGGTGGCGCAGCAGGCTCGCCCTTGGCAGGGGCGGCATTTGGGGCCAGACAGTTCTCTGCTTTGGGCGGTCCTGGGCGCCGTCAGGAGTTTGGCAGCACCCCGACCTCTGCTCACTAGATCTCTGGAGGTGCCCACTGGGAGCCTGCGCTCTACACATTCACCTGTTTAATTTTTTAGAGAGAGATTTTTGCTATAGGTGTGTGAACGCACTGGAGAGACGGAGAAAGAGAAAGAGAAATCACCTCCCGGGGAGGATGGCCACGATGCAATGGCTTCTCCTCCATTCTCCTGGGGATTTGGGGCATGCATGCACACGCACCCAGCATGAATTTTAAGCTGTCAGGTCCAGGATTCGAACCGTGGTGGACTACGTGGGAGTCCAGTGATGTAACCATTACACTCTCTGCTGGTACCACGTTCACTGTGTTTTAAAACACTGGAAACCTGCGTGTAAGATCTGGATTTCCAGCTTTTCTGAAAAGTTGGAAGATCTGGCTAGCAGTAGCCTGCATTTTTATTGTTTAATTCTTTTTTAAAAGTGTATTTTATTCATGAGGGTGCGTGCATGGCAGAGAGAAAGGGAGGCACCTGGGGCAGGGCCTCATCACGCCATAAACCCCTTCTCCAGGCCCCTGGGGTCGTGGGTGCACCTCACTGCTTTCAGCTCAACTTCGGATCTGACCTGCAGTTGGCTAGGTGGCTTCCAGCACTGCGGTTCAACACGTCAGCACCTGTGCCACCAAGGCTGGCCCTGGGTTACCACAGAGCAGAGAGGTGGCGCCCATCACAGGGGTTGGCTCCCCGTTTGCCACAGCCCCCTGCATTGTGCGTGTGCTCTGACATGAAGCCCTGCACGTGTGGGTCACTCACCTGGGTGCTGAGCCCATGACCCCTGCCCTGTGGGAGACCACACGCGGTGTTGGGCCTGGGCGGAGAGCAGCACGCAAGCCCCAGG